GCTAGACAAGGTCTTGACTAGCCAAAGATGGCGGGAGATTGTGCCGGATGCTAGTGTGCAAAATATATTAACCCGAAAGTCCGATCATTCTGCTCTTTTCCTTGGGATTCTGAATCTTCGGAAAAGGATGGGTGGTCTGAGAAGAGGGTTTCGTTTTGAGATGGCATGGCTGCATGATGAAGGATGTAGGGATGTGGTGGAGAAGGCATGGAACGATGGCGCAGGAAGAGGGTTGCAGGAATGTATCTCTATTTGTGGACATCGTTTATCGCGTTGGGGAGGAGATCATTTTCATAAGTTTGGTGAGCGGATCAGAAATCTGCGGAATGAACAATTGCGTCTGAGGGGGTGTAATGATCCGGTCTCATTGGCTGAGTTCCAACGTTTGGAGGAGTGCCTATGTCGTATTGAGGCCCAGGAGGACACATACTGGAGGCAGAGAGCCAAGCAGCATTGGCTAAAGAACGCGGATGCTAACACGAAATACTACCACAGGTATGCATCTCATCGCAAGAAAAAGAATACTATTTTAAAAATTATGAATGGTAGTGGGGATTGGGTGGAGGGTGAAGCCATGAGGAACGTTATCTACGACTATTATAAGACTATCTTTACCTCCGACTCCCCAAGAGATAGTGGGGAATTCTTTGGAAATATAGCCTCTCGGGTATCACAAGTACAGAATGAGTTGCTCTTGCGGCCTTTTGATGCTAGTGAGGTAAAGAGTGCTTTATTTTCAATGTTTCCTGACAAAGCACCAGGACCAGATGGAATGAATCCGGGCTTCTACCAGCATTTTTGGGATATAGTGGGTGGTGATGTATCGGCCTATATTATGAATTGTCTTAATACTCGCTCGTTTCCAACTTGCCTGAATGATACAAATATAATATTGATCCCAAAGAAAAAAACCCCTGAGATGGTCTCGGATTATAGACCGATAGCTCTGAGTAACGTGGTGTACAGGATTATGGCTAAGGTTATAACTGCCAGGATGAAACCGTTTATGGGGGATATTATATCTGACACCCAAAGTGCTTTTATTTCTGACAGGCTAATAACGGATAATATTTTGATTGCTGCTGAGGTAGGACATTTTTTGAATAGAAAACAATGTGGAGTCACAGGGTGGGGGGCTTTGAAACTGGATATGGCTAAAGCCTATGACCGAGTGGAGTGGCCCTTCCTGCGTGGTATGATGTTAGCGTTGGGCTTTGATGAAAGGTGGGTGGATTTGATAATGCTGTGTGTGACCTCAGTTTCATATAGTATACTGGTTAGTGGAACACGAAGTGACCAGATCGTCCCGACTCGTGGATTAAGGCAGGGTGACCCACTGTCACCTTATCTCTTTATTATTTGTGCTGAGGGACTTTCATTGTTACTACAGCAGGCACAATTGAGAGGAGATCTACACGGGTGCAGAGTAGCTAGGGGAGCCCCCCCTATATCTCACTTATTTTTTGCAGATGATAGCTTGCTCTTTTTTAGAGCAACTGCGCAGGAAGCCAATGTGGTGAAACAGTGTTTATCGGTGTATGAGGAAATGTCTGGGCAAGTAGTGAATTACTATAAGTCAAGTATTTGCTATAGTAAGAATACGCGGGATGAGCATAGAGAGGAGGTTGCCAGTATATTGGGAGTGGTTCAGGCTCCGAATTTTGGGAGGTATTTAGGACTCCCATCGTTTGTGGGCAGGAATAGGAGAGCAGTGTTCTCATATATTGATGATAAGGTAAGACAGCGGATTGGGTCTGGAATAAGAAATTGCTTTCACAGGCGGGTAAGGAAGTATTGTTGAAAAGTGTGGCACAGCCTATGCCCACCTTTTCTATGAGTGTCTTTTTACTACCTATGAATACTTGCACAGCCATTGAGAGAGTTATGAATCGTTACTGGTGGAGATCTAAGGATGATCAGGGCATCCATTGGAAGGCATGGGATAAATTATGCATCCCTAAGAAGTATGGGGGATTGTGCTTTAAAGAATTGCATGCCTTTAATTTAGCTATGCTGGGGAAACAGGCCTGGCGTTTACTCACCAAACCTGAATCACTGGTTTCCAGAATATATAAAGCCAAGTACTATCCTAAAGGGACATTCTTTGATGCTTGTATAGGAAATAACCCAAGTTACTGCTGGCGTAGTATTATGGCTGCACAGGAATTAATTTGTGGCGGAGTCAGGCGCAGGATTGGGAATGGGAAAGGAACTCTTATCTGGGATCATCCATGGCTTCAGGATGAGAATAATGCGAAAATAATCACTGACAAACCACCATATTTGGCACAGGCAACTGTAATGGGATTAATAAATCAAGAAACGGCGGCTTGGGACCAGGATATTTTGACTGATATTTTCATTCCGGAGGATGTGACACGGATATTGAAAATACCAGTGGCACCAGATTATGAGGATATGTGGTATTGGCATGGTGATATAACAGGTGAATATTCAGTTAAAAGCGGTTACAGGCAAATAGTGGGAAATTATGTACAGACGACAGGGATGTTTGATAAATGGCCCAAATTATGGAAGCTCAGAGTACCCCCGAGATGGAAAACATTTTTATGGAGAGCCTTGAATAATATATTGCCCACAACAACGAACCTCATTATAAAGAGAGTGGAGATTACCCAGCATGTGCTATGTGTGGGATTATGCATGAGAATGTTATGCACTCTTTGGTTGAATGTGATTATACAAGGAACATTTGGGCACAATCTCGCCTTCCAATCCCCAGTACTATCACAGATATTTTCCATGTTTGGTTTAATGACATATTAAATATTCTAGATGATGATGGAATTATTTATGCAGTAGGCCTACTATACTATATATGGCGAGCGAGGAATGGAGCTGTGTGGGATGCATACTTGCCCAGACCACAAAAGATAATTGCAACTGTAACCGCAGCGATCCGGACATGGCAAATAGCACACCCGGACCGCCCGATGCAGCAACGTGCTCCGCGTGGACTGGCCACGGCAATCCCCGAGCAGCACCAAAGTGCGGCATTGCAGCCTGCTACCGTTCTGCCCACACTCCTTGCGGCTGCCTCCGTACGGAAGAGATGTTACTTTGACGCGGCCTTTTTCCAGGCCACAAGTAAGGCCGCTGTTGGGACAATTTTCCTAGACGAACAGGGATCGTATATCACAGCTCTACAGGCGCCATTGATAGACTGTTTTTCCCCGCTTATGGCAGAAGCAATTGCATGTAAAGAAGTATTATCCTGGCTATGGGATCGTGGAGAGAGATCAGTAGACATACTAACGGACTGTTTGTCACTACAACAGTATTTATCGCAACCGAAGGAAACACCACGTTCGTACCTCGGCTATGCCATTGACACCTGCAGAAACCGGATGGTTTCCTTTGATTATGTTTCAGTTAATTATGTTCCTAGATCAGATAATTGTTTAGCACATATTTTAGCCACTTCGGCCTTTAATTATTCAGCACCTATGTACTCGGACAGTGGTCCGCCACACTCTATTTCAGCATATTTCCAATGAATGCCGCCCAGGCTCTTTTCAAAAAAAGTATTATGAACATGAATTATGTGCGTTATGAACATAAATTCTGTGTATTATGAAAAAAAAATATTTGTATTGGATCAGAGTCTACAGTGCACTGTGGACCCTGGTCCATGATATAATTTGACCATGGGTTACCAAATTCAAGAAATTTCATGGGTATGTGCAGACATGCTCAAGACATGCATCCGTATTCCATAATTGTATGTGTTACAGTACGTATTTCTACAAACGTACTGTAACACATACATACGTAATTACATGCATAACATTTTTGTTTGACTAAATATATAGTTTACATTTTTTTTTTCATGGGTAACGTGCCGTAGATGGAACTGCCTTAATGCACGCTAATGTCGCCTCTTTCTGCACAAATTATTATCCCTCGCTAGCTTGCTTCACATGATGATGATTGGAGAGATTTGCTGTAACTGCTCATTCTTCCTTTGACTTTCAAATAATAATAATAATAATAATAAAAGTTGTTGTTTTTAAATTTTTATCTTCACTTTTCAATCTTACGTGTCATAACTATTAATTCCTAGGCTATTGATTTTATTTTAAATTTAGTATCCTTGATTAAGAAAGCTATTTGTGATGTGTCAATTATCAAATCAAAAAAGAAAAATTCAATTGTTAATGTTGTAAGGTGTATGCCCGTTAGCTCCAAACCGGTATTACAAGCAATTTAGAGTATAAACTGATGAAGCAGGAAACAGTAAAATAGTAGAGTATAAATAAGAGTGATCAGAAGAAGGAATTAGTGCACATTCTCATTAATTACTTACTTTACAATATATACAAGCTGCAATGTATAGCTGTTACAAATCAAGTAATGATTACTAGTTGTTACAAATTGTATCATTAAGCACCATAATAATGTTCATAAATAATATTTTATAACACTCTCCCTTGAATATTATTTTGACATAATCATGCATCGTTAAAAACTTCATCATTATATTGACGCAATTACTTAATCAACTTCTAAATTAAAACCCGACCTACAAGAAATGTTGAAAAACTAATACAACATATTTGCCCTTGCAACAACATCAATTAACTAATACATTATATTTTTGCTTGTCAGTCTTGGAATCATTTCAAGAATTAACTCTACACTAGTATGTTTTAGAATATGTATGTTATAGTCTATAGTGTATTATTGTTTGACTTTATCTAAAGTTGCACATGCATGCAGATCAAAGAGATTAGCTAGTTAGGAGTAGAAGTTCATCACGTGGCCTCTATGGTTCCACAAATTCAATCCTATGAGATTAGCATTAGATTAATACAACCACATTCATGCACTTCCTTTCCCCTTTGTACCATTATATTATTGAATTCATATCTAAATGAAAGTGCGCCGTATAATATAGGCCAGTTGGAATTGACAAAGTTTTAATCATATTTTTATGAGTTCAGTTGAGCATGTATAAATAGATCTTAGCTAGCTAGCTTGGTGGATATGAAAAACGAAAACCATACATTAGATTTATTATTAGAAATTACAATGGAACATCAAAGAAAGAATAGTATGGTTGTTTCTGCAGGTATCTTGGTTTGTTTGGTGTTATTAGTTAGCAGTGCCCATGCACAGCTAAGAACTAACTTCTACAAGAACACTTGCCCTAACGTTGAATCACTGGTTCGATCCGCTGTCCAACAGAAATTCCGGCAGACTTTCGTAACCGCCCCCGCAACTCTCCGCCTCTTCTTCCATGATTGCTTTGTTCGGGTTCGTTATATACTTAGTTTCTACCTTCATTTATTTATTTATTATATATATATATAGTAGCTAGCTAGCTAGCTAGGTAACTTGATCGATATATATGTATGTATGTATCTATCAGGGCTGCGATGCATCGGTACTTCTGGCATCGCCAAACGGGAAAGCAGAGAAAGACCACCCGGATAACCTTTCACTGGCTGGAGATGGTTTCGATACCGTCATCAAAGCTAAGGCTGCTGTCGACAGCAATCCTCAATGCAGAAACAAAGTTTCCTGTGCCGATATTTTGGCCTTAGCCACTAGAGATGTCGTCTCTTTGGTACGTGTGTGTGTGTGTGTATATATATAATAATGTATGTTCTGATCTGCATGTAATCATATCGAAATGGTTTTATATATAAATATATAATACGTAGGCTGGGGGAGCATTTTACCCTGTGGAATTGGGACGGCGTGATGGAAGAATTTCGACACTAAACAGTGTCCAACGCAATCTACCAGGAGCAGGATTTAAGCTGGATCAACTCAATTCCATGTTTGGTCGTCACGGCCTCACCCAAACAGATATGATTGCCCTATCAGGTAGGTATATATATACATTAATTTATTTTTTAAGTTTGAAAATTATTATAATGTATGTATGTATGTATGCAGGGGCGCATACGATTGGGTTCTCGCACTGCAAGCAGGTGGCGAAGCGTATTTACAGGTTCCAACCGCGAAGCTGGATTGACCCCACCCTGAACTTGAGATACGCCTTTCAGCTGAGGCAAATGTGTCCTCTGAGGGTGGACCCCAGGATCGCTATCAACATGGACCCCACAACGCCCAACACCTTCGACAATGCCTACTTCAAGAACCTGCAGCAAGGTAAGGGCCTGTTTGTGTCGGACCAAGTGCTCTTCACCGACCCTCGTTCCAGGAACACCGTCAACTTTTTCGCCTCCAACAACGCCGCATTCCAGCAAGCCTTCGCCGCCGCCATGACCAAGCTTGGCCGCATCGGAGTTTTGACCGGAAATCTTGGTGAAATCAGGCGTGATTGCACCAGACCCAACTAATTAACCTATCTAGCTACATATATATATATATATATATATATATATATATATATATATATATATATATATATATATATATATATATATATATATATATATATATATATATATATATATATATATATATATATATGGCCGGCCAGATCATATCAGAGCTCTATTTTGTAGCTAGTTAGCTTAATTAGGACATAATAATTAATTTAAATTGTTTTTCATAATGTAGTACGTGTTTTTACTTCTTTCCATCGTGGCTTTCATTTCGATCTGCGGGTACGTTGTATCATTCATTTTTTGAATAAAAGAAGATTATTATATATTGTTCTGGTTTGATTCAAAGCTAAGGCCGGATTCTATCTTCATCTTTATTTTAATTTATATTTTATATATATTAATAATGACAACCAAGTACTATATATCATCATGATCATGATCGTGTTTTGACCTTTTCTTGCTAGCGGTCCTTGTTGCTACTATTGCAAACCTTAGCTAGTTATACATGGGCTTGACTTGGGCTTGATCAAGTTTTTTGTAAAACATTATGATATGATATAGAGTAATTAATATGTTTTACAAATTAATGCTCTACAAAAAGCTTGATCAAGCTACACTCAAACGAAGCCCATGTAAATCTAAAAATAAAACAACTAACATATCTCAAGCAAAGCTAATTTAATTACAAATTTTGAGACATTATGATGTTGGTTTGTACTCAAAAGCAACTTCAGATTGAGCCGATTAATTACACATATATGTCTTGTTCTTAAAGTGCTTAGTTCATATACACTTTGCTCTATGCCTATCTAACTCACCAACAAAATTCATAGATTGAGTAACATTTCCATCTGGAATTCGACACTTGGCAACTTCTCAAATATTTATTTGTTGACTCCTTCAAAAGCTTCATATTCCTACGAGGTTGGAACTAAGTGTTTGATTGTTTGCTTGTAGTGTACATGAACCTAGCATACAAATTATGTCTCACAAGTGCACTAAGTCTCAAGTCTCAAGTGAGATGCAAGTGAGACTTGCGTCTCTTGAGAGACTCAAGAGACACAAATCCCACATGCATGCGTCTCTAGAGAGATGCAATTCCCACATGCCTCTCTTCTCGCCGGTGTCCGATGGTGAGAGACACAGGTGGAAAATGTGTTAGTTTCTCGTATTTTACGAGAAACACATTTTTTACTTGTGTATGGCACTAAAATAATGTATATACGTTCATAAAACGCAAGTGGGACTTGCGTCGTGGTCAACTTTCGAAAAAAAATAAAATGAACACGCGAATGTGGGACATGTATGTCTGACCTCAAACGCATGTCCCAAATACTCTTTTCCTGTTCCGCTTTCAAAATCATCCTTTTTTTTTTGTTAATTCATATGAAATGCTTTCATTCCCGTCTTTGACATGTCATTCTTATCCCAAACTCAATTCATACTAAAAACAAGTACTCGCAACTGAATTGTTTTGTATATTTCAAAAAAGAATTATTGATATATTAACTCATTGAAGGTTTGCAAGATAAATCACATGCCGATGTCACTTGATCGTAAACGTTTTATGTATATTTATACTTATACACACACACAATCGGGTCACAATAAAATCTCCAGCCACTATTCGAGAGGTATTACATAGGATAAATCACACTTATATGTAAATTGTAATATAACTCGTCGTAAATCACAGTACAAATGTACAATTAAACCTTTCTAGAAAAATAATCTATAATAAACATGATTGAGAATATATTGATAATAATCAAACTCATGACCTCTAACATTTTTGAATTATTAGAGGATATAATGCACCACTATTCTTTAAAATAAATGTTTAGGGGTCCGATGGTAATTTATTAAGCAAATTAAGCAATATATATATATATATATATATATATATATATATATATATATATATGATCTAAATGCTACTACCAATAACTATAGAGGTGAAGATGAAATTCTCCTTTATTTTCTTTTTGAAAACCAAATTCTCCTTTATTTATAACTATATTCATTTTATTTCTAATTCACCTTATTTTTTGGGATCCGAATTCACCTTGTAAGGTGGACTCGCGTCTAGAATACACAATTTATATACTGAATGTTCATAATTTTGTAAAAGATAAATTATGAATATTAAGTAGGTAAATTATAAACATTCAATATATAAATTGCGTATTTTAAATTTGGATGCATGTTACAAGATGGACCATGGTCTATGATATAACAACTCAACGGTGAGACGAAACTAAACCTCGTGAAGTAATTGGATGTGCAATTAAAGCTTTTCCCAATTTAATAAGGTAATTACTATTTTGATAAAAATCGGATACTTAATTTGAGCTTATCCCAAATTAATTTAAAATAAATACGTATTATTTGTTGGTATAAGTTTAAGGTTAATAGAGTGAGGGAGTGTGGGCCAATGGTTGCACCTAATCGACTATAATACGACCGGAAGAGAAAACTTAAGCAAAAGGGTATATTATTAATTAGAGTAATTTATACCTGCCCTAGGGTTTCTCCGCTCTCCGCATCAAATTGCCGTTTCTTCTCTTCCGCAGAAGAGAGAAGACACACTTGAATCTTCCATCTTCCCCGATCGATAATTTTATTTTTGTGTTTGGGTTTCGCAATGAAGAAGCGATCCAGAGAGCTGAAACCTAAACCCGAAACTCTGATCCTCGACGCCGTCGCTCCCGGCCCCGCCCTCATCAAGCACTTGGCTTCCTGCAGCGCCCCCGTCCGTTCCAAAGCTCTGCGGTTGCTCGAGGGATGGCTGCTGACGCAATCCGATGTCTCCGACGACGACATGAAGAAGTTCTGGAAGGGACTCTTCTATTGCCTCTGGCATTCCGACAAGGCCCCCGCTCAAGGCCATCTCATCTCCCGCGCAGCTTCGCTCGTACTCAATCTCCAACTCTCTCTCGCTTTACATTATTTTTCTGTCTTTCTCGTTACATTGAAACGCGAGTGGAATGGGATTGACCGCTTGAGGCTTGATAAGTTCTACTTGCTTGTTAGGAATTTTATTCGCGCGATTTTCGATTTGTGCAATAAATATAGCTGGGATTTAGAGCTTCTAGGTAGAGTTGTTGACACCTTTATTAATAATGCGTTTTTAGCTGAGGATAAGTTGCTGGGGAATGGAGTGTGTTATCACATTGCTTCGGTTTGGTTGGATGAGTTGAATGGTTGTTCTGTTCCTGTTGAACAGGAGGTGGTTGGACTATTGTTTAAGCCATTGTTTGAAGTAATGGGGAAATGCGAGGACAGGGTGATGGTGGGGAAAGTGAAGAGCTGTGTGTTTGATGAGTTGTTGAATATGGGGAAGAGTTTATTGGAGAGGAAGAGGAAAGGGATTGAAGGCAAGGAGAGCTATGCAGAGGTGGCTCTTGGGTTGATTGCAATGAAAATGGGGTTTTCAAAATTGCTTTTTGAGGTTGGATCATCTGTGGAATGTGTTCAGGGAAATAGGAAAGTGCTTTTCAAGTTGCACGATGAGTTTTTGAAATTGGAGAAGGATTTTGAAACATCGGGTGTTGACATTGTGCTTCCTGAGGTTACTGTTGAAGATGAGGAGATGCCTGAATTGGTACCAATTGAGAATGGCAAGACTGAAGAGGATGCAGCAGAAAGCTATGATGATATTCAGGATGATGAGGGACATACTGATGAGGCTTTGAGAAAGTGCAAGAAGGCTAAGACAATGCAGGATGGAAGCAATAAAAAGGGTAAAAAGAAGGAGAAGAAAAAAGGGGTCTCTCAAGATGATTCTGCAAATGAGAATTGTGTGCCAAATGGGGAAGTTGCACCTAAAGAGTTGGAAAATTCAAAACGAGGGAAGAAGAAAAAGAAGAGTGAGCCTTCTGAAAATGGATCTGCAGTTGAGAACATCCTAAAAGATGAGGTTGAGAATATGACTGGTCCAGACAGTGAGAGCAATGTGACTTTCAATGAGTCTGTTATTTCGAATCTTCAGATGCAGTTTGAGAAAGTTGCTGCTGAAGTCGATTCAGGTAGCGATGATGATGGGGATGACACTCCTGTCATTTCCATGAAAAAGAAAAGGAAGAGAGCTAAAAGTGCCTCATGTATTCCTGACATAGATAATGCAGGAGATTCTGCAGTTAGTGCTACAAAGAGTGCAGATAAGAGCTCTAAGAAAGTTAGGTTTGCAATGAAGAATAACTTGGTGTGGAAACCGCACAGTCCAATGCCTCCACAAAGCTTGCGATTGCCACCCTCTCTTACTCCCCGGGGCAGTGCTCTCAAGAAGGGTGTGCCTCCAGGTCCAATAAGAGAGATGCCTCCTGCGACAAAGAGGATGAAACAGAAAAAGAAAGGCCGCAAGATACTGAGGACTATCTCTCCTGCAGTGAAGAGAGTGAAAAAACTCAAAGCTTCATCACCATAGGTGAAATTGAGGTGGTTGGAAAATCACGGGTTTAGGCACTATGTTGTATTCACCCACCTTTCAAGAGTTAATTGTTTTGTCCGTGTCATTTAAGATACACTTTCCTGGATCAGAAGTTCATTTTGAACATCCTTTGGTTGGTTGTTTGTTGCATTTGAAACAAATTATATTCTGAGGAGAGTTGAGTTTGAATACCAAATTATTTAAAGAATCATTAAGCAATTCTTTCATTAATTCATTTTGTATAACCGCATCAATATATTACTTCTTCTAGTGGCTTCTGCAAAAAAGTGTCTTACATAATGTCTTAAAGCAAAATATGAAGTTCATTTGTTTGGCCAATTCTAAAAGGGGCCAATAGAATGATGTTTAAATTTAAGGAGATCTCAAATGATTAGTACTTTAGTATATACTCATTTGTGCCTTTGGGCCGTAATCACTACTGTGGTTTGTTATTTTCCTAGGGCATGTCCCAGTGATGCTTGTACATTTGTGTCCCCAAAATAGTGTTAGGCCAAGGTGAGGGATCAAGTTACGTTGGGACGTGTATAAGTTTTAACTTTATAAATTATGTGAATATGAAGGGTTAAGAGACTTTGAAGTAATATATTTTGAACCGCCGAAAGATTATTAACAAATAAATTTAAAAAAGAAAATATAGCATCATTCAAATAAAAAGAAAAAATACTAATTCTTTTAGCGGAAAAAAAGAAGAAGTTATTTAAAAGGTAAAAATCGATTCACACACATATAACATATTTGTGTGAGTACGGGTGGGTTGAAGTGAGATTATCCGCCTAAAACTATTTAACGGTTAAAATGACGCCACTATCCTCGATAGTCGATAGGATACCTTGGTAAACCTCAAGTTGAAATACTAGTAAGCTGAGCTCAATCTCCTGCGGCTCGATCTGCCTCTCACCGCCGACGCCATGACCGACCGTGACCGAGTTCGCGATCGAGACCGAGATAGGGACCGCGAAAGAGAAAGAGACAAGGATAGATACAATAGAGACAGGGAGCGAGATAGAGATCGAAAAAGAGACCGTGATGAACGCGACCGCGACCGCGACCGAGACCGGAAAGAAGGGGAGCGCAGCAAGCGGTCTCCTTCTCCTTCCCGTTCGCGTTCGTATACACCCGACCGTGTCAGATCCCGGAGAGCCCGTTCCCGCACTGGCTCCCCGTCAACCGACCGCCACCGTCACCGCCATCGTTCACCGTCTCGTTCGCGCTCTCCTGACCGTCACCACCGAAACCGGAATCACCACCGCCACCGCACTCCTTCCCCCGAAAGCCCTCCCAGAAAACGCCACAAGGAGGAGGGTGAAAAGGATAGGGATAGGCAGCGGGACAGGCAGAGGGCTGTTTCGGATTTCGTTGATGGAATTGCCAAGGAGCAGAAGCAGAAGCAGGATGGAGAGGGCGGCGCAGCTGCGGAAGGGGGTGCAGAGATGATTGATGAGGACGAGCTTGAGATGATGAAGAAATTGGGTATTCCTGTAGGGTTTGATTCGACTAAGGGAAAGCCTGTTTCTGGGAACGATGTGGGCGCTGTGAGGAAAGTGACCAAAAGGCAGCCTCGACAGTACATGAACCGGCGTGGAGGGTTCAATCGACCCTTGCCTGCTGAAGTCAATCGCTAATACTCAGGTTAGCATTCTGCTCTATGGAATGCTGTTACTTGCTTCAGTTGCTTGTTTTTATGCCTTTCTATACTTAATGTTAGCCATTAGTTATAGGCTTAGTTTAGTTGATCTTATCTTTGTGCGCATTTTCTTTCATTAGGCATTGCATGATGTGGAAGTTTTGTCTATTGCTCCTTAATTACTGTTTCTAATTGCAGACTTTGGATTTGAAGTTTGAACCCTATGTAGGAATTATCAGTTTGAGGATATCTCAACAACTAGATCTCTAGATGCCAATTTAGCACTCCAATTGATAGGAAACTTATCAAACCATTCACGAGTTCTGAGTTCTGCCCCAAATTTGTATTTAAATTAGTTGGTCTGTCTTAGCAGTCACATTGACTATGAATTGTGTCTCAGTTAAATTGTGAAGTTGAATTACTCTGGGAGAATACCAAATACGCAAGAGTATAATTCATTTGAATTTTAAAATGTGACTTAAAATCCCCACCTCTATCGAGTGTTGATTCATGCATTATTGATTCTTTTGTTTTTGGGGTTTCTGGTCTGCTTGTAAGTTGTAATAGGAATGTCTTCTTAAAGGCTCTCTTAAATTCACTTATGGGTTCTTCTAAGTAAAAACAAGCAGATAGTCAGAGAATTTCTCTTAGGCAATATGCTCAAGTGCTCACACATTTTATTTCTCTCAAATCAAGAACTAAGCATATTCACATGGTATCCTAGCATAAACACACAAAACCAGTAGCATACATAGCATGAGATCAAATAAAGATTAACATATGGGGACTAGGACCTTCAAATTTCCATTATAATTTTGGTTCTTTCATAGATTCAGTTCTCACAAGGCTTTAGTACATACTATTCAACTTATACTTGAGTGTGTATAAAAATAGTGTCAATGCTTATGTCACAATTGCTTTTAGGGGCCGTTTGGTTCACGGAATGTTAGATTACCTTAAGGAATGTTAGATTACCTTGGGAATGTTAGATTGCTGGGAATGTTAAATTACTGGGAATGTTAGATTTGTTTGGTTAAAATTGAGGTATGTAATATAATTATGTTTGGTTTAGGGTTATCTTCTATATATATATATATATATATATATATATATATATATATATATATATATAATTACAACAACAATAACAATAACAATAATAATAATAATAATAATAATAATAATAATAATAATAATATAAGCTAACATAAAATATATATCTTTAAATAATTAGAATTAAAATGACAAAATTCATAAATATGCAAGGTTATCCTACATTACCTAACAAAATGGAGGGAATCACATTTCCTTCAAAATCCTATGTGGAGGGAATGTTGCATTCCCTGGGAATGTTATATTCCCTCAGAGAAAATGAACCAAACATAGGAATGTATGCTCGGGAATGTCACATTCCCTTGGTTATATAATATAACCTGAACCAAACGCCCCCTTAGAGCTTCAAGGGTGCTTGGTTTCAGTACATCGGCAAAACAGTTCACTCTTTCATCCCTTTGTTGCCTTTAAAAACTTTATATACAGTGCTTATCTAGTTTGAATATCCACCAAAACTTGAGGTTATTCCTCCTTAGTCTTCTCTTGCCTCGTTTTCTTTTTCACTCTCTCTCTTAGTTTCTCTTATCTATATTTCTTTCTCTAAAGAATGGAGTGTTGTGTGGAAGAGTGGAAGTGATATAACAGGCAGGTTTTCAACCCATCCAAATTAGATATATTTTGAGTTGGGTGGGTAAGAAGGTGACAGAGTGCAGGCCTAGACTGTGTTGTGGGGTTGGTTAACCCATGTTTGAGCTGCTTGAAAATTAAGATTTTAAGAAAATTAATTAATTAATTAATGTTAATATGGAGTAACATTGTATGCCACCTGTTGCTTAAAAGTGAACCACCCACCCAAACACTTGAAAATTTTGGCTAAAATTTCTACCCCTCTAGCTTATGCCATTACTATCTCTAATCAATTAATTAACTATGTTGCACACTTTGTCATTCCCTTCTCCGTCTCCTTTATTTTTTCCATTTTTCTCCACCTGTGTGATCTTTATTAATATCATTGGTCTTCAATATTCTGCTTTTATTTTTGCATTCTTTATGGTTTCCACAATGAAACTGCATCTTTTGTATGGATCTCAATCCTTTATGGTGTGTAGCTGGTTGGACTTGCAACAAAATTATTATTAGATACAACCTACTACTTGCATCCACAAAAGCATGAAATAGAACTGTTTTTTACAGATCGGTCTCCATTTTTGGCAGCTAGGGTCAGTCAATTGAGCTTTGGACAGACACCTTTGAGAGAAGTGTAAGATTTGATGAATTTAGTTGGTGGAGGTGGTTGTATTTGTACTATATTTTCCTTCAACACCATCCACTGCTTACTTTGGTCAATCATGAGCAGATATTGCATTCCATTCTGCCCAGCCCATATTCTTATATCATCTGGATTGTCGTTTGCTTTATATAATGTGCTCCTTAAAATACTCTGCAATGGATTAGACTTGACTTGTTCTCCTTAAAATACTCTGCAATGGATTAGACTTGACTTGTTCTTCCCTACGCAACCACATTGTTAGCATTTGCCTTGTGTGTCTGGCTTTTCAGTTTTTGACTTATCTTATTCTAAGCAACTCAACTGATGCTCCGGACGTATAGTATAGTATATATGCAGAAAATAATTTGTTTGGTCGACAACCTCAAAGTTTTTATGAAATGAAACAAAACTTGATACTCTTAGTTGGCAGCCAAGGTAGAAAACAAATGAAATGCTTAATATACTCAACGTCTGGTGCCGCTGTTGATTATGCCGTAGTAACATATTGCATTAGTTCCCATTTTTTAAAAACATATTTTGTCCTTTGAAAAAAATAATAAATAATATATTCAAGTTGAACCAAATCTCCAGAAAGGATGTGCAGTGTGATGAAATATACACCAACCTCTCATATTTCTAGCCAAAACTTAGGGGAGATCGAATAATATATACATAAATATCCTTGCATAAAGTTATGTACAAGAATATAATGGAGGAAAGGAATCAAGACTATCAAGAGTTGAGATATCAAAAATTAAAAAGAAAATGACAACATGATTTTATTATTATGAGATTGACATCAATAAATTTTTTTTTTCTTTTTTAAAAGAAGCTATTTATATGTAATTAAAGATGGCTAAGGAAGTAAAGGTTACGTTGCAAACACCAATAATTGAATTGAATATAGAGTATATAATACGGTATGATGGCAGAAAACATCATATGTGTTTGCTATATATGAAATATAAAATTAATTAATTAATTATCCGTACATTTAAGAATTGAATAGAGCGGTGCGGTGCAATTGGGTGATGGATGAGGCCATATGATGTGAAGATTCCACCCAATGCAAGTTGTCTACTTCCGATTCCTTTCCAACAAAATTAGTTGAAGTAATACATACAAACAATTTCGTAATAAATTCATATTTGATTGTATATCTTGTAATAGACTCGGCTAATTTATAAACAATTAATAATTATTATAAAATATTACATACATCACAGGTCTTGATATATACATAGAAAATTTAATTTGAGTGATTGGTCCAATCAATTTTATCACATCATCACAAATCACAAATCTTGTTATCAGTTAGGCATATGTAGCTTTCAGTGTTCACTATCAGTCTATCACTACAATTTATGCTATCAAAGTTTCTTTAAGGGTGTAGAATCAATCATGCTTATTATATCTTATCTGAAACTACAAAAAGGAACACCACATTTCTAGTAATATACATATATATGAATTAGGGACGGAGTTATAGTGGGGACAAGTGTGACCTATATATAGTTCTTGTAAATATATATGTATATATTTTACATGTTTTAGAGTATAATTATAAGAAAATAGATAAATGTAAACAGGAGATGAATTAGATTAGTTGCTAGATTATGAGAGGTTAGAGATTCGAACCATATTGCTTCGACACAATTTCCTTTATGACTTTTTTAATATTATATTAATAGTGAAATTTTTACACGTATAATCAATTATTAATTAACCATATATGCATATATCACTATTAAAGGATCGGGCCAATGGAAAAACTAAAATGCCAAAATGCAAAAGTCCGGCCTCCATTTGTGGATAGCTCATCAGCTATTGGTGCATGCAAGCTAAGCTAGATAGATAATCTCTTTCCCTCTTTCTTTATATAGTACAGTGTTCACCTGATTTGGTCGGAGGAGGAGACGGCGCGGCGATCAAATATATGCATGTCTCATCATCAGCTCACATCGTCGATATATATGATCGCCTTCCATCCACGATACCTCAGCTCGATCGCCATCATATATATATATATATATATATCTTGTCGTTGATTGCAGGCAACAATCGTATGCGCGCAGTTTGCTGCACATTATACGACGACGTACTAACTAGCTTAGGGTTGTAAGCTGCAAATCAAACGCCAATGATATGATAGATATTTGTTGCCATTCGTAGTAGCTAGCTAGTGTGATCTTCTTCATATATGCTGGCCTGGCAGCTTTGCTGGTGACTCCACGACGGAGACTTCAATTCGCTGCAGGCGTTCGTTGAGGATAGTTTAGTTTTTTGGTCTGGTCTAATCAGATCGGAGTAGACTGATTGATTGGTTATCGGGCACCGCAGATCTGATCTGATCCGATCCAGCTGTTAGTTTAGTTTAGTTTTCAATCTTTGGTCAGACTAATTAGGTTTGGACGGACTGGTCGTTCGTTTTCGCACTCTTTTTCTATGGATGAGAGTTTGTTTGTTTTTTTTTTTTTTTTAATATGAAATTAATATTATCTACCCATTTAACCGCATTTTCATTGTAGAATCTTTCACTTTTATTTTTCTAATAACCACTTTAATTACAATTGATTAGAGTATACAAAGTGAATTAGAGCACTAAATTCAATTAATATTATAACTAGCATGTTTATTTATGCAAGACTAATTGATCGATAGAAGAATCGAGTTTGAGTTCATAGAGTAAAAAAAAGACACATGTTAAGTCTTATAAGGAGTCTACAAGTGTTAGACTTAAAGGATCAAAGAGGAATGTAGGTTGGACTTAAAAAATCAATAAAGAATGTAAGACAGACCTAAGGAGCATACGAACGACTCATATTGAACTACAAAAAGAAGACAATTATAGGGTATAAGAAGTTGGATGGTTGGAGTGCAAAGTGTGACAATGTAAACAGTTTGTGTGGTCTAGATAGAAGAGACGTATAGTAGAGTTTACCATATTAAAGTACGTGTAAAGATTGAGAAGATGAAGTATAGAGTAAAAGGAGACCAAGAGTTTAGGCGTTGGAATATGCATCCATGATCCAACACACCTCGTATATTTTGATATTTTCATGCATGTATAAACATACACTATATATATTCATGCATGTAATTAAAACCGTTTATTAAGAAGAAAATAGAAGCATAGCGTATTGATTCGTCATCTGACTTTATGTCATGACTGAAGATGATAGATGGAGGGAATTCTAATCTCACTAGAAACATGGTAGGGTCTCTTCGATGAGTTGATTGCGCACTTATGATTTATTATGCTTTGTAGTGACTCCAGGGGCTGGACCTTGTAGACTTATGATTAGTCCGATACGTCAAAGCTGGGGCTCGAGAGCACCTAAATATTAAAAAAAAAAAAAATAGAAGCATGATTGGGGTCATATTTGTATTTTCACAATAAAATAAAGAAACAAATAGCAAAAAAAAAAAAAAAGAGAGAGAGAAAATGAGGATAATAGTAGAATAGGGAAATATTAGATAGGAAAAAGGAAAGAAAATAAAAGAAAAGGGCGATGACATGCGGCCGCTTTTTTAGTTTTGTTCTCCTCTGCTTGCGGCCTCTGCCCTCTGCCGTTTCACTATTTATTGATTATTTGGGTACGCTTCGCTCTTTCTCTCTCTCTCTCTCTCTCTTCATCAATCTTCATGGATTCCTCCCTGCAACTTGCACGCCTATCTCAACGCCCCTTCTCTTCTTGGTATTTGCAATCCCATCTCAACCACTCTCAATTATATCTACTCATACGTAAACCATATATATATAATAAAAGCTAACGTCGGCACAGATGTAATTGTCTGTGTGGGTCTCTCTATCTCTCTCTCTCTATGTTTATCCGATTTATCGATTTTTGTCTGTTCTGAGAGATTTATCTCTATCTGTGTTCAGAATAATTGTTTCTGTGGTGGTAATGTGAGTGGAATTGGGTAGCAGCTGAAGCAGCAACAGCAGCTATGGATGCTTCTTCCTTGGAGGGTAATTCTCTTTTCTTGGTCACTCTTATGTTTTCTTCTTTGTGTTTGTGGTTCGTAAATGACAAATTAGCTTTCTTGTCACGGCTGATCCGTGAAAAGATTCCACTCTTTCAACTACTAATGAATCACGAAGACCTTCCAAATTCTTGATTCACACTCAACTGTTAGCTCTGTTTCTGATCTGTTGGTTTATATGGAAGTAGTAATTTCTGGGTTTTCTCTATTTTGGTATCTTATTTATTTCTTACTTTTTTTTCTTTTGGGTTATTCATTATTGGGTGTGTTGGATTATTAGTGGAACCTACACTTATTGGGATCTATTAATTAATTAATTAATTTCAGTAGTATTTATCTTACTTGTATTAAATGTCAACAAAATGATGGCAGTGTCTTCCTCTATCTTAGTATCTATAGTGTTTTCATACCTCTCTGACATGAAAAGAGTTTTTACCAATGAAAGTTGAATAGCTATACATAAAGAAGCATCCATATTGAATTATCAGTCAATAAACATCTAGAAATTGTATCCTTATGATAACTGTAGCGTCAACTGGAAGTTTGTTCAACTCCGTGATTCCACTTGTTAAACTTTCTCTGTATATTATGTGCACTTCCTCATGTGTTTGACTGCTTCCACTATGTGCCCTTCATTATGTGTTTTGACTGTCAAACATTATTTTCAATGATACTGTGGGAGTTGGAATATCATGTGGCAAGCTGTCTTCTTGGTTTTCACAATAAAATATGCTTTTTCTTTGAGTTGGTGAGGGTTGTTAGGAAGGAGCAGTAATTGTTTCATCATGCTAATCTGTCACTTTGCTGCAAATCAGAATTTTTTTTGTTCAGTCATATCAGTAGTTTGGCAGCCTTGTTATTTCTCTCTGAACTCTCAAGTCCCATGAACTACCCCAGGGTGTGGACTTGATTGAAAAGTCTTTATCTTCTTTGATTGATACTTTGAGCTTAATTATAAATATGGCCACCCCAGGTCTCCTTCAACTATACAAACTTAACCACCATATACCTTCCTTATTGACACCATTAATAACTTGATTGATGGACTAACAATGGCTAATGTTAGACACCATTAGTCCTTTGTCATGGGTTCCTTCCAAACATAATGGCCCTAAATAGAGGTGGCTAACTTTATACAGTGATGGACCATATTTGGCCACAATAAAATATCTGATTTGTCGATCTAAATGCAAGTATTGTCTGCTTGTTTTGCATGGCGTACTATCATCTCCTCCAAGATGCAACTAGAAGACATTCATGATTCATTTTAGTAACATTGAGTTAAATACACTTGCTGATAGAAGTGATTGACTGCAATTGAAAAAACTAAAAAGAAATGTAAAGAACCTTAGCACAAACCCAAAAGTGTGCAACAAATATAAAGAGAAGTCAATTTTTTTGTTTTGAGAAGGGTGCATTATTGGAAAATGGGTACTCTAACATATCTACAACAAATTTGTTTATCTGAGATAGATACCCTTCTGATTTCTTGTCTGCAGGTCGCTTGGATCCATCAAAGTGCAGCAAGTTGCGAATGGAGGAAAAACGGGATCTTGTTTATGAATTATCAAAGATGTCAAATTTTTCTCCTGAAATGCTACAAGCTTGGAGTCGCCAGGAGATCTTGGAGATACTCTGTGCAGAGATGGGAAAAGAAAGGAAATATACAGGCCTAACAAAGTTAAAAATTATAGAGAACCTTCTAAAAATTGTAGCTGAGAAGAAATCACTAGAGAATGGAAGTTCTAGTAATCTTGAATTGCCTTCATCAGAAAAGGGCCAAAGAAGTTTCAAAAGGCAGAGAAAAGTTGATCACCCCAATCATTTCCCTGCTGCCACAAGTAATGTTTCAACTACCAATCCTAACAGTGACTTGGGGAATGTTATATACTGCAAAAATCTGGCTTGCAGAGCTAGGTTAAATAGTGAAGATGTATTTTGTAAGAGGTGTTCATGCTGTATTTGTCGCAACTATGATGATAACAAGGATCCTAGCCTGTGGCTAGTTTGCAATTCAGAGCCTCCTTTCCAACGTGATTCTTGTGGCATGTCATGCCACCTTGAGTGTGCCATTAGACATGAAAGATCTGGAATTGTGAAGGATCGACAAGATGAGGGAATCAATGGAAGCTTTTATTGTGTATCTTGTGGAAAGGCTAATGATCTGCTCAGGTATTTCTTATAATCACTAAAATCTAAGAAGGCTCCCTTGTTTGATTGTTAATGCTGCTTTTGTAGTTCATTTCTGTGGTTCAACGTAAAAACTGAGAGGTTTTTAATTGATCTAATTCTTGCAGTTCTTTGAGAAAACAACTAGTGACAGCAAGAGATACTAGGCGGGTAGACATATTATGTTATAGGATTTCTCTAAGCCAAAAGATCCTTGGTGAGGCCAAAAGTTGTAAGCTGTACACCGTTATGGATGAAGCAGTTAAAAAGCTTGAGGAAGAAGTGGGCCCTTTAACCGGTTCACCAGTGAAGACGGCAAGGGGCATTGTGAACAGGCTTTCTTCTGGTCCAGAGGTTCAGAAGCTCTGTGGTTTGGCAGTTGAGTATTTAGACTCTATGCTTTCAGAGAGAGTACTTGAAGTGCCATCTGACCCTAAATTGCAAGGTAATTTTGTTTAAAGCTCTCAAATATGCTTGAAACACTTGTTTATTACTCCTTGATGAATGTTTCAATTTCTGTTGAAATGAAACGGTAAACTAAATTTAGAAGATACTCTGTAATAGATAAGGAGCAAACTTAATGTTGGAAGGCTTTCACTGGTTACAAAAAGGTGCCCTTTTATGCATAGTAAATAATACATAAAAGATGAAAATACAGAAAGCTCGACTGTATTCTGTAACTTGTGCAGGATTGGGAAGAATCTGAATACTGATTTGATGCATTGATTATATGCTGCCTGAAGTAGTGTGTTTTTTTTTTTTTTTTCCTGTTCTCGATTATTTAAGACATGATTTAAAAGCAATGTTTCAAGGTTGATTTTTCAAAAAGCTTTGATGAAAACAGTAAATTAATGCTAATGAGACCCTTGGAAGACCAAGATGGGCTTCCAAATTGTTAGTAGTTAGTTATAATTGATTTCCTGCCGCTGTAGTATTAGAAGGCAATTTCTGGTTTTCCTTTTCTTCTCTTTGGGGTTGGGGATTTGGTAGAATGTGCATTACATGTGTTTGTTCTAGTTTTGCCTGTATCTGAAATTGCAGTTCCTCGGATAAGAAGTACACACCATTCTTTCCTAAATTACCTTACCAACAATCTGTTTGTCAGTTTATATTTGGTATCCATTTGAGGCAAATGAAAAGCATTCAGGGTTTGAATGGTTGTCTAACTTTGCAGATTGTAATGTGATAGCTTCAAAGCTAATCAGATTTGAAGATGTTTGTGCCTCATCTGTTACTATCATCCTTAGTCCTGAAGAGTCAACAGTGGGGAATTTTGTGGGGTACACCTTATGGCATCGAAAAGCTGATGATTTGGAATATCCTGTGAACCATACATGTACATTGTTTGCGCCAAATACCAGGTTTGTACTCTCTGGTTTGGTTCCAGGTACAGAGTATCTTCTGAAAGTTGTGTCTCTTGATAGTCAAAGCAAGTGGGGAGTTTGTGAACTTCGATTTGAGACAAGTAAAAGTAATGAAGCGTCACATCTGAACTCAGAGAATTTGGATGGCGAAAGAAGTCAGAGTGTGCGAACAAACTGTAGCAGCCCCTCCTCTAACCATCCTTGTGTGGAAGAAGAAGAAGATGAAGAAATTAATGATGACATGCCATCCTACAGTAATGAGGATGAGGACAGAGGGGACAATTCTCTTTCTTGTTACACTGATAATATCACCTCTACGAATCTATTATGCTGCGAGGGTAAAAGCCCTAAAGCAGCAGCAACGATGATGACAGTAAAGCCATGTTTGGGAGGGGAGGAGCCCAGCATGCGAAATTTTAGTAGCTCCACACGGCATACAACAGATGTGATAGATGTTGAGAACAAGGATTCTCCAGATGCACAAATAGCAGAAGAGACTAGCACCGGCAATGGATCAAACACTCCTCCTGAAACCATCCTGGAGCATTCTGGAGGTAACTTGGAAGCGGGGGGCTTGCCCATCACGCCTTACAAGACAGAGAGCATGGACTTCCTTGGACGAAAAGGTAGATTCCTCCAAGGCAGTGGAAAGGATGTGGAGAATGGGTGTGGAAAGGAGGATCATCCGCGAGGTGGGAGCTCGTCGAAGAAGAGAAGCAGCGAAAGGTTTGATAAACAATGTGGTGGGGACAAGGATGATTTTGAATACTATGTGAAAGTAATCAGATGGTTAGAATGCAGTGGGCATATTGAGATGGAATTTAGGCAGAAGTTCTTGACGTGGTACAGTTTGAGAGCAAGTGGTCAAGAGGTTAGGGTAGTGAAGGCATTTGTAGATACACTTATTGAAGATCCAGAATCATTGGCTGGGCAGTTGGTTCACAGCTTCTCAGATGTCATCTCAAACAAGAAGTCTTCTATGGTGCCTGCAGGCTTTTGCCTTAAGCTTTGGCACTGAATTCAACTCCATCATCCCTAGACCCCCTAGCTTTCTATTCTCTTCTCTTCTCTTATTAGGAGCTGATCGATGAGGAGGATACAATTCAATTGCAAACCTCATCTCATCTAGGTTAATTGCTCTGCATTAATTCTTTGGAAAAAAAAAAAAAAAAACCCCAAAAAATATTATTGTTATTTGTTAATGTTCACTGTTGGTTCGTTTTTAATATTCTTCAATTCTAGTCACCATATATATTATAATTAAAACCATATATACTTAGCTTGTGTTATAGGTGGATATGATGCTGCACCCTTGCAGCTTACATATATATATATATATATATAACAGTTTGCAATAATAGTTAGTAAAATGAAAGGTGTAATTAATTATTAGATACGTTGAACAAGTTGTGAATTGTATTGAAGCTTTAATTTGTTGTTCCTCCGATCCATACATCCATGATCCATGGGCCAATACAAGACCACCTACCGCTTACTCAGAAACTAACTACTGTTTTCTGAATTTCAAAAGCATTTTTTTAGTGTTTGAAGAAGAAGAAGAAGCAGGCAATGGAAGAGGTAGAATTGACTGATGTGTTCCGATCCATATATTATATCCAGCTCGATCAGCTGATTAGAGCGATATGATGATGATTCTTGTGTGAGATCCGATCGGATCCTCTGTTCATCTGGATCTAATTTATTATCCTTAAGCGAGCTGAGGAGCTTAGCTTAGCTTGTTCCTAATCCTAGCTGCTGCTGCTGCCATCAATCTCTTATTGGCTTTCCAAAGTTTGGTCCAGCTGGGCGAGTTTTGAGACTGGGGAGGTCTGGGGAGAGCTAAGCTCTGGGCCAACGGCGGAGGAGTGGGAGGAGGTGGAATGAGTAGTAGGTCATTTCCCGGGCGTGGGCGTGGAGTTTTGGGGGCTCCAGCCTCTATCTCCCATTGGAACGGAATTATTCCTTTAGCAGTAGACATGCAATAATACAAACGCCGGGAGGATTCTGATAGTCTTGATCTTGAGAGGAGGGACCTAAAACCATCTCCATCTTCAGATGATGCTTTGTGATGAACTTTGCTGTAGTATCTGCTGCTGCTGCTGCTATTATTATTCTTCTTCCCACCCTCTTCATCCTGCATCTTGCATATCACATCAATTTATTATTAATTGTTATCAAATAACAACTAACTTTCAAACCCCCGGCCATATATTGCATGAATAATATATATATTTCAACTTTCAACTCTCTCAGCTCGTTTATAAACCCGGCCTCCGGCCTAAAATTAACAAAATGCTAAAAATATCAATCCTGCCACTTAATTAATTGTAACTATTCTATCACATTAATTAATTCCAACGTACCAGGACTATGTGGTCTAATGGTACCCGGGTTGGACTTCCATTTGGAAGTATATGAACAGATACTAAAAAATTAAAACAAGATACTTTAACTAAAAGTCTAAAACAAAACATCATATCATGTATATATATAAGAGAAGATTCAAGTAAGAACACCCTTTTCTATACTAAAAAAAAAAATATGAACATATCTATCTTGAAAAATCAAAGGTTAGAATCTTATTGTTATTAAATTTTAAAATTTGTAATAATTATAAAATGAACCATACTTGCTCTTAAAAGATTTTAATGATTTAAAAACTTACCCATGTTTTTTTTTTTCTATTTTTATTAAAAACTTCAAACATTGACTAAGCCTATGAATATAATGCATGGTTGAGATAATTCCTCATTTGGACTATGTTCTCATTTGAATAATTGAATATATATATATATATATATATATATATATATATATATATATATATATATATATATATATATATATATATATATACACACGTACTCGATCTACAAGGGCTTGAGATATATATAAAAAAAAAAAAAAAAGATGAGATAGATAGAATATTAATTAAAGATGATGATCAGAACTAACCATTAAAGCAGCTTTGATGTTCCACGGACTGGCATAACAGAAAGGGGCATTGGAGCAAGAAGAGAAGGAAGATGAGGAGGAGGAGGAGGAGGAGTTGTTGAGTGAGGCAATGAATTGGAAGTCGTCTGTGTCAGAATCTCCAACCCCAACCCCAACATTTTGGCGTTGATGATGACTACTACTCTTATGCTGCAAACCTCCTCTTCCTCTTCTTGATGATGATGATGATGATTTTTGAGCAATAATAATCTTAGCATGCTGCTGCTGCTGCTGCAACATTTTCTTGATTTTCCTCCTCCAAGAATTAAACACATAATAATAATGGGGCGTGGATTGTTGTTGCGTGTCAGGTGTGTGGTGATGAAAGCAAGGCAAAGAGAGCTCCAAGCTTTGCAAACAAGGGGGAGGGCTAAGGGGTACCGGAGGAATAATACTTTCTTCGTCTTTATCGTTGGGTATTAGTTGGGGTGTGCCTGGCTTCTTCTCCCATTTGAATGGAACTCCTTCGGCTTTCCTGCAGTAAACGCTGGACGACCGCCCTCTACTTGCAGACTCCTCCCCACAAACATCATTAATCCTCTGCCACCTCAAGTACTGCAATTCCTCTCCTTCCACTTCCACTGCACCTTTATTTTCATAATCATCACCACACGGACCATTTTTCACATCCATTATATTATATATATATATATATATATATTTTTCAATTTCCCGCCCGCTCGCCCTTCCTTTCAAAGATTATATATATGTACCCTCCTACGTACGCGCTTTTGTTTTTTCAAAGATGGATTATAGATGAGTACGTTACTGTATCATGCATGCTGCAGATCGATATAACATAGATATATATATATATAGAGAGAGAGAAAGAGAGATAGAGGGGGTTTGGGGGATGGATGGGTATTAATTATATTATATATTATTGTAAGCTCATTCAAAGGCGAAATTAAAGCTGAGATCGAGTTTGTTTGTGCACATGATGATGGGCGGACCGAATTGAAGACATTCGTATTATTGGTAGCTAGCGCAGCCTCTTTATGTCATACCCAAGCAAACAACCCCGCCCGCCCCCCCGCATTTTAAGGTTACTCATGCATGCCCGCATGTGCCATCACCCTACCCAAATTAAATAAAGGCTAATATACACCAAATGGTAAGTGCAGTGTTGTTTACTTCAATTTGGTGCTTTAATTTCCCCGCCCTATTCACATAATTGACTTCAATTTTATGTATCAAAAACTCTAATTTAATTGCTACTTTCATTTGAAGGAACCTCATCATGAAGTATACATTAATTATGTTAATTCGTTCAATGAATTTCATCTATGCAAACCATCTGCATTGACTTTTGAATTCAAGGTGCACTGTTATCCTATCTTCATGTGCCTTACTTTTGACTTATTAGTAGCTTAGCCTACTTTTACGTGTAAGCCAATTATTATTATTATTATTGAGGTTAATGGACCAAATTTTTTATTAAAAAAAAAAACAAAAGTAATACTCTTGGAGTCTTGGTCCTAATGCGATCAAATGTTTAAATTGTAATATATACATTTGAATATAAAACAAGATAGGTGTATATTTAATCAAACCAAATCAACCTCATTAAATTCTTTTAAATATACATACAATTGGCTATTATTTGCATCTATATTCTTTTATTAAACATACAATTGCCTATTAATTACATGTATATAATGTTACGTGATATTGGACGATGAAGAAGCATAACACATGTAAGGTACTTGTAATCTTGTGTACTATATTACCCGTTCACAACTTATTCAACCACTCACCCTAATTTCACACTAGAACAATTTATGAGCATCATTTATAGCCGGATCAGAAAGAACTAAAGAAACAGGGATTAATCATATCATATCAACTACAAGAAGAGAAGATACAAATATATAAGTTAAAAATGAAATTAGCTGATAAGGTCACTTTCATCGTTCAGTACTTGGCTGCTGAATATACAGTCAGTCAATACATACTTTAATGGCTCTCTCCAAAGAACCCATACACAACATACTAAATTTGTTTTGTATCTTACATATTTTACCATCTAAGCTACACCTCCTTAAATTCAATGTGCTGCCGCCATGTCATATCAAGACAGATTTTACTTCACAGCCCCTGTACCAACAAAATAACACTACAAACTTCAATACTACAGTCTACATGTAACCGACATGAACAAAACAATTCAATGTAAACTGATCATACCTCAGATGGTGAAGAAATAAGTGGTTCCCTCTCAGAATTCAAATGTCCACTTAATCTCCTGTACAGTTCCCCAAAAATTATGAAATAGGTATTCTCATCACACAAGTGATTTAGTATCATTTTAATTATTCTTTATTATCGAGTTTTTTTTTTCCCTTAACTATACAGCATGGGGATGGGGAAGGTTTCTCAGCATTAAAAAAAGAAAAAAAAAATACCTTGGCCTCTCAGAATTTGCAATATGCTTAGACATTATTGATGCCTGCAGTAGGGCAGAATTATCATGTTAATCTATCTTAGGAGTAAAGAGATGGGGTCCAAGAAATTAGAATAAAATGCACTCGAAGCTGATGCTCTTTCAAATTCAAAATTCAGGCTGCTTCAAAAGATAATTTCCCAAATAAAATAATTGTCACGGTGTCTACTATCTCTAGGGTTTGAAAGACAAATTTAAAGGTAAAAGAACAGATGAACCCTAGCATTCAGGTACACAAAAAAACCTGACCAACTATTCTAAGACAAACAGGGTGGATATTTTACAAATTCACCACAAAGGAATTATCCATGTTGTACTGGTCCTTCATGATTCTCCATGTGCAAATCAATTACATTTCAAGCTGATTTTATGTTCTAAAAACAAGAGGACACAAAATCATTAAAGGATTAGTAGACGAACTCCAAAAGGAATACAATATCAAGCAATAAAACTTTCATGGCTACAACTAGTTGACTTTTCACAAAAAGATGATGCATGTAAGTATAATGCTTTGCAAGCTATACTGGGGTTATACAGAGCCAATATATTCATATGCATCTATTTATGAAAAAGTACCACATACCATTTTTTCTTCTTTTGACGCCTTGATGGTAAATACTATGTAACAGAATAGAATTACTAGGAAGAGCATAGTACATACCTGCTCTTGGATAATGCTCCTAGCCTCAACAAGCTGCGCTTCCAGCTCAAGTTCTCTTTCTGACACTTCTGTAGTAACTTCTGCCCCCTTTTGTGCTTCTTGGAGCTGAATCACGCGGTCCTTCAATT